GCGCAGTCATGAAAGGAAAGAAAATCTCTCAGTTTCAAACAGCGATTCCCCTTCCAGAAGATGATTGTTGGGAGGATATGGAAGATGAGGAAGTAGAATGGTACACATCAGATCAGACTATCATTAAAAACAATGAAAAAATATTGGAGTGGAAACGACAACATCAAGAAAGAAATCAAGAAAGCAGGGGAGGATGTAAAACCTGGAAGGAAGCTACTGTAAGAGACCTTTATAATGAACTTGAATATGTCTCAAGGATGGATCCAAGAAAAAGAGATGAATACTTTACAACAAACGGGTGGAAATTTGATTTAAACTCGAAAACCCAATGACATTTTTAGTTTTATATATTTTGGACAAGGTTTTGAACTTAGGAAAAAGTGTCCAAAACCTGTCCAAAAATATCCATAATTATCCATAATCTGACATTGTTTGATAGTTTACGCTATGAAATTAGCGATTAAAATGAATAGAATATTTCTTTATATCATCTATGAAAAATGAAATTGCAAAGGATTATGAAATCTTCGATGTAACAAGCGAATAATTATTCTTTGATTTAATATTTAATCAACAAGAATTATTCCACTATCAGCATTCGAAATTTAAGAGGTTGGAATTTTTACCGGTTAATTTTCTTTAGCCGGTTATTATACTTAATTTATCTTCCTGAGTTACAATTTTAAACGGTTAGGAATTTTTGTAAGGTTCTAAACTCTATCACCACCTCAAATAACATCTCTATGGATAGCGGCGTCTGATGAAACCTTTGAAGTACTACTACAAACGGAGAAAGTTAATCGTGGTATATCATACGTGGAAACAGTTATGATTTGATAGATTCGACGAAGATTTTATCTCTTCGCCAAACAAAGTATAGTAATAGAGAAAGGCATACAGCATTAGGTCAGATGCACCAATTTAGCCAAATATTCGATTATTAGAATTACAACTAGTAATATGATATCGATTTAAAATAAAAATCAATGTGTAACAATTCACCAACCAAATGGGCTAGCCCCGAAAATCATACCTTACCTTCAAGGTATAAGTGAAGCCTTAAAGAATAGGCGGGCTGAAGGTTTCGTTAAAAGTGATAAATATAACAACTTTAGGTAGATCTTGGTTTAGTAAATGAGACACTTATCAACATCAAAGGAAATACAGAGGCGATATGGCGATATTGTTTATCACAAGAATGATTGGCTTGAGCAATCAAGTTCACACCACGAGAATGAAGACTGGAGTCAAATGATTAGTTGTCGTGGAAATTTGAATCAATGATCGAATCTTTTTAGATTTCTAAATGACACAGCCCGACTTCAAATCACTTTCTAATTTTAGAAAATTATTTGAGTCAGATTATTGTAAAAAACGAGCGCATAAATTCATAGTGGCACCATTAAGAAAATGAAGAAACAATAATTCAAATGGATTATAAAAATAGAGAACATCGTGAATATATATTAAAAATTTGAATGAGTACAATTTTATTAAAGAAAAAGCTGGCTGATTAAAAAATAATATTTTTATAAGTTGATTAAAAAATAGTTTATTAATTTATAATTTTTTGTATTGATTTAAATCAAAAGTATTGTATTTATGTTTATATAAATGCTAAAGTTTAATAATACTATTTTTTATATTATTATAAAGAGTGTAAAATATTTATATTATATTACTAAATTTAATTATAATTCTGAGATGTCTATGAAAATTATTATAATATTATAAATATACTAAATGTATGAAAGATTTCGGTTTAAATGAACGATATACGATTTATTTGAGCCTGTAACACAATGAATCTAGTCAGACAAAATATTCAATTACTTGAATATTTTTTTAAGTTTGAATAAATATTTTTTATTGTATTATTTTAATAGGCTTAACAACTTAATTCGCATCTAGAATAATTAAAAAGTAAAATTTAATCTTCAAACGACAAATACGACCAACACGCGCTATAACCAATTTTAAATTCTTTAATCACTCCATCATCCATGTACTTATTTAAGATTTCCATATATTCTTCTTTTTTATATAAAGGATCTGAAATAATTATCGAAAGTGGAGTTCGACCTCTCCAATTATCTAAAAAAGCATCTAAGGTTTCCAATGAAAATTTAATCTTATTCGTATCCGTTAATCTAATTTCTCTTAAATTATCTGGTGCTGATTTTATTAATATTCTTGATAATTCTTTTCCTATTTCAAGACTTGCCTTCTCACGCGATTTTGCATCGTGATAATAACAATTGATTTTTAATAATAACGACTTCAAATTTAGACATGCTTTTAGTAATTTTTCGAATTCAACGAAATGAATTGTTGATTTTGGAAATGAGAGTGACAAATATTCGACCAAAGGACAATATTCATAAACCGTACGGATGAGGAGAAGAGATTCTTCATAATAATTATCCGACTTATCATATGAATTGACTAAAATTTTCCTGAGGTGCCCTTCGCAGTTTTTAATCACGCAAATGGTTGTGCTGATTTGAATATAATTTACTTGAAGGGTTCTAAGATTTTTATAACATGAACTTTGAATTTGATTTTCAAATCTAAGGTAATAATTATAAATCTTTAACAATTTCAAGTTATGAAATTTTGAAAAGTTTATCGGTATCGTTGGTGTCGGTAAGTTACTTTCACAATCAGTATAATCTTCAAAGTACGTCACCAAATAATTCAGGGTATTTGCCTTTTTCCCTAATGTTAAAAAAATTTCTTCATATAATTCCTTCATTATGGACCCACGGTCATCAGCGTCCCAGAATTCATCAAGGTCCCGTAATTCATCATCATCCCATTCGAAATATTTTAAATTCTTTTGTACCTCAATCAACTTGACAATTCCATGATTGACTTTGAGTTCTTTGTTGATAATAATGATCCTTTGTATCGACTGACAGATACGTGCTAATTCATAAAAATGATTTGGATTAGTGGACATATCACATGTGATTTCACAAAGTGAATCAAGACATGCCTTCGCTTCTGTAAAATAAAATAGTTGGTTAAATGATCTCATATTAAAATACTTTAATGCTGAACATTTTCTCATAAAGAAGCTGTAAATTTCTTGTTGTAAATGAAATTGTTTATAAGTTGAGGTTGAACAACCAATGGAAATTATTTTGTTTAAGACATTTACGTTCATACTCTTACAGAAGCACAGATAATCGAACAAAAGTGATTTATGTGAAATTGGAGGGAAATAGACTCCCTTACTGGTTAGATATAACTTGATATCATTGGATAAAGAGAAGGTAATGACGTAATATAAAGAACTTTTGGTTTCATAATCTATTTGATCTGAAAAACGCCAGGGATTCTTCCATAAAAACGGAACCACGGTTCTACACCAAAATCTATTAACTAATAGGCATGAAAAGAGGGACTTTGAGTCATCTTGTAATTCTTCATATAACAAGTAAAGAATATCTCTATAGAGGTTGGACATGTTTAAAAAGAAATCGTGGTGCTTAAAAAAAGGGAAAAAAAGCACCATTATCTATATATTTTTTAAAATTTTTATGTGCGACACATTTTAATTGATGCACCAATAGAATTGATGTCATGAATGGTCATGAATGGTCATGAAGAGTATATTTTGAAAAACTGGTTACGCATTATTACCAATTTCGAGAAATAAATCAACATAATAGCTGCCATTATTTTTGTCGGAGATATCATTTTGTCGGAGATATCGTTAGAAGAACTACGAAATTCTATGTTTATTTGGCGCAGTTCCCAATCCTAATTTGGCTTTTTCGTCACTGTCCGATCGATCCTCCATCATAATTATAATATATTTGAATTTCTTTGGCCATATTATTTTTTTTTTTTTCGTCGTTTATGGAATTTCGTGTAACAAGAATTTTTTTTTTTGCTTGTTTCTTCGTTAGGTAAATTAAAAAATTTCCCCTTTTTTTAAAAAAAAATTAAAATTAATAGCAATCTGTTAGAAAATTACGTTAAATCTATATTATAATTTGATTTTATAACTACAGCATCTAATTCTAGATCATATTAGACAAGTCTCAGATTTTACCTTAATAATTATAAATAATAATTATTTACAATTCATATTTTTTTATTGTGAAATTTGAATATGCCTGCTTTAAAATCTATAAGGATAAAGTAATTATTATAACAGAATTGATATATGAATTTATCGTATACTTTTTCAAATGCTTTATCTAACAACATAAAAGTAAATAAAGTTAGTTTGCATTTTGATTTGAAAGTTTATTTTAGAAGATTATAGCTAATTTTTAATTAAGAAAAATTGAATCTTGTCTTGCTTATGAAGTTAAGATAATTTTATTATTTTTAAGAAATTAATGTGAAGATAAAAGTGAAAAATATATTTCACTTAATAACATTTATATGAAATAGTATATGTAAAAGAGATGCATATTAAATCATTTTATTGAATAAGTATCCAATACAATTTAATTATAGTTTTAAAAAAACACTACTAGAATTTCTAAAAATGTTATTGTCTTAAAAGTATAAAATGAGATCTTCAAGAGAATATAATATAATACAATTTAAGAAATGAATTATCAAATAATATTTATTTTATAAATATATTATTTTATTGTCTTTAATTATAAATTTTAATATTGTATAATATCAAATAAAAAATTTAAATAAAAAATTAATATTTTATAAAATAATAAAAAATAATCTATTATTAAAAAAATTATATTGTAAAATAAATTATTATTAATAATGACTCAAAAATTAATATAATTGATTATTTTAAATTATTATTACTATCTCTAGTTTATGAATATTTTTGGTTTATTATTCATAGTATAATTTAATAGAATTTTTTAATATATTTTCTCAATTTTTAATAAATAAAAATAAATGAAGTTTTTAAGAAAATAACATATATTTATTTAATTTTATTATAAATAATCACTTATTTTAGTTTCTCACTAGTCTAAACTACTTAGCAAATAACTATCATAGTTCTATAAGATCATTTTTAAAAAACTCAACTTTTTATTTTTATTATAAAATTTTTTAAAAAGCAGCATAAAATATACATTTAAAATCAGATAGAAATTACAATTAGACTATTTAAAAAGAAAATTGTTACAAAAATTTGTTTTAAATTTTTGAATTATTTTTTTTTTTAGAAATAAAATATTTATAAAAATACTTTTGTTGTGATTGAATTGATTTTCATTTGAAATTAAAATTCAGAAGATTTTTAAAGATTTTTAAGTATTTAAAATTGAGATTTCAATTTCAGACACTCTTTTTGTTATTTGAATTCTAATTTCAAATAACTTATAAAAAACTATTTTAATCAATTACAATGTATCAATATTTTTTTACAATTTCATAAATAAGTTTATTTTAAAATTTTATATTTTTATGCTTTAGATTTAAACTGAATTATAATTAAATTTTATGATATTTATTTATTAAATTTTGTATTAATATCCAATATATATTTTTTTAAAAATATTATTTTCTTTATTCTTTTTTTGATTTTTATTTACTTTCTATTTTTTTTTAATTTTTAATTTCATATTCTTTTTTTAAGTTTATTTTTTATTTTTTATTTTATTTTATTTTTATTTTATTTTTAATACAGGTTTTTTGATCAATTTAGATGTTATATTAGTTAAATAAGTGATTTTATTTATTTTCATTTTATCTATTTTTTCAGGATTTTTTTAAAATAATCAAGCCTAAAAATGCAAAAAATAATCATTCATATGTTAAAATACATTTACTTTTTTTATAATAGCAAAAAGTAAATAAAAAAAAAACTTCTACCTTTATAAGTTACCTGTATACTTATTTGATTTTAAAATAAAATTACTTAAATATTTTTAAATTTTAATTATAATATTAATTTTTTTATTAATAATGAAAAATAAATAAAAAAAAACATTTAAAAATTATAAAAATTTTATTAATTAAAATAAATTGCTTATATACAAATAATAGATTTTTTTTATTATATTAATTTTAATTTATAAATAAATAATTTATAAATTGTATAAAATTCAGATTTTATCTGAAGTTCAATTTCAGATATATCAATTTCAAATGGTCTTGTATTTGAAATTCATGACTAATCTTTAAATCTCAATTTTAGATACTCAAAGATTGTTTGAATTTTAATAACAAAAATCAATTTCAATCACAATAAGGGTAACTGAAATTGGAATTTCAATTTAAAACAACTTATAAAAAACTATTTTAACCAAATCACAATATTTCAACTTTTTTTTTTTTACAATTTTGTAAATACATATAGTTAGCTTTAAAATTTTATATTTTCAGACTTTAACTTTTAATTGAATTATAATTAAATTTTACAGGCATTTATTTATTAAATTTTATAACATTAATTTCTATTATATTTTTTTTTATTTTTATTGTCTGAAGTGTAATGAAGGACACATTTGTTATGGTCAAAATCATGCAATATCTGTCTGTTCATCATAAAATTAACTAATCAAAATTTAAGATCAGCTGTAATATAAATACGTGTCTTTTTCTTCATGTGATATTGTGTTAACTGTATTGATATATTTAAGTAATGTAAATTAAATTTCAGATGCACAGTAGTTCCCATTCTCTAGTTATTTATTTTTTTATTTTTTTTTAATTTCGATTTATTTTTATTTAGTTTTTTAGCAAATAAGTATTCTTTTTTTTAAGTTTATTATTTTATTTTTTATTTTTTTTAATTTTATTTTATTTCTATTTTATTTTCATGCAGGTTTTTTGACCACTTTAGATGCTGTATCAGTAAAATAAGTAATTTTATTCATTTATATTTTTATCTATTATTTAGGCTTTTTTTAAACTTTAGATCAAAGTGATCAATCCTGAAAAGCAAGTATATTCATTCAATTAAAAGAATATATTATAAATATTCACTTTTTTTTCTTTTTATTTTTTTAAATAGCAAAAAGCAAATAGAAAAGGAATTCCTATCTTTATAAGTTACCTGTATTATTATTCGATTTTGAAGCTGAAGACGAATTTTAAAATAAATTTACTTAATTTTTATAAATATTTTCAAATTTAATTATGAGTTAATTTTTTATTACAATAGAGTAATTTTTAGATGGCCTCGTGTCTGAAATTCAGATTCTATCTGAAACTCTATTTCAGATAACTGAAATTAAAATCGTTACACAGAAATTGACCAATAAGATCATTGAAATTCAGATATCTGAAATTGGAATTCCAATTTCAGTTAACTGATCTTCGAATCTCAATTTCAGACACTCAAAGATCGTCTGAATTCCAACTTCAAACGAAAATCAATTTCTGTCACAACAGATCAATTTAAAATCGAAATTCACTTTTATTGTTTGATCGAACAATACATTAATTCGATTAAGAAATTGATCACACCTAATTCGATTTTTATCGATCATGTGAGGGAGGGACCGATCAAATCATCGATTATGATTTTTTTCATCAATTAAATGCCCTACGCATATGATGAATTAATGATAAAAGTTGAAAACAAAATAACAAAATGGATATCGTTAAAAGAATACTATTCTCAAGTCAATTTAATAAAAAGATAGAATATGTTGGCTTTGTCTTTTTGGGTTATTACTCATTCCGAAATATTCATTCACAAAATTATCAATAATTATTATACATTTGGAATAATTCCACCCGATAGATCATGATTTTCGCTTGTCAATAATTGTAGTTAGTCCTTGTAGATCATTTTTGATTCTGGATCATCATCAAGTCTTTCTGAAATGAAAATCAATGATGCTGATGTTCAACTATATTACACACGCAAGCATGTGATGCACATTTAAAATAAAATAACCAGGAAGGGAGGGGTGATAAAAAAATAATCATTTCTTATTTATTTGTGGGCTAATTGTGGTTTTTCGTGATAGAGATATGAGAGAGAATATTATTTTAGCATTATATTAATTTGCGCTCTCGATCGCGCAGACTGCAATTTCGAAAGGCCTTCCATTATTAATAAAATATAGTTCAACGATAGTAACTAATTTCAATAAAACTATATCAGATTTCATTTCCCATAAGAAATCGAGTACAGTAGTTAGTTTGAAAATACGGTCTGGTGCTCAATGTTTATAATTTGTAAATTTAAACAAATAGATAGTTTCTTAATATGATTAAGTATAACTTGAACATTTATGATTAAAAATTTTGATAAAAGCTTTTCACATATCTTATTAAAAAAAAATTAAACAATTAGTTATTTGTAACTTTTTATGAAATAATCCCTTAGTTAATGCTTTTATTGTTTTGTAACTCATTTTTTTTTTTGCGTGAAATGGTGCAGCAAATAAAATTTTGTTTAGAATATGTTTGACTTTTATACAATAACTTGTTTCATTTATATCATGTGACGTAATAATAATACTACTTTAGATAGAGTTTCAGCTTACATACGCTATATCAAAGTTGTCTTAATGGATATGAATAAAGTTCCACTGCAGGCTCGAGTTGAATAAAATATATTTCGACTCGGCTTGGTTTTATTGTATGATAGTTCTAACGAACTTGGATTGTTTTTTCCTATTACATGAATTTATAACTTAAAATTGAAATTTAATTAAATAAGAAATATAGATTTGGTACATTTCATGTGGTCGATGTAAAAAGGGAGCAAGGATGCTTCACTAACGGCAAATAATATATTATCGTGTTAGTTATGAAAATTTTAAAAAATAATCTTTAATTAATTAATAATACATATTCATCGGAAACTCGCGTAGCTTAAATTTCATAATACGAACGCAATTACCAAATACATATTCGTCAATTACTTTTTGTAAGGTTATGAGTAAAGATCTCAACGATATGCAAAAAAATTTAACAAAATAAAGCGGTGGAAGTATACTGGTTTTATAAAAATTTTTGGGCAAATTTTTTTGAATATAGGCACGAAAATGTTTAAATTTGTCTTGTAGATAAAGAAAGCGAGATCAAAGATATAATAAAGGTAGAATTAAACAATCAAAATATGATTTTAATACAATGTCATACATAAAATTGTCACTATAGAATCCGAATTTTTGAAGCTAAAGAAATGATGATTAAATTGCGAATGCAGCGGATTTTGTCTATGCTTTATCAATCAATTCATGAAAATAATTTTTTTTTTTGCATTAATAATATATAACATTGATTGCGAGCGATATACTGTATATGAACAATAATAATGATATTACAAAGATCAACGGCTAACACGAAACAAAGAATTATAAAGTGAACGAATTGCTGTAAATTTATTTGCTAAAAATTATTACATATTTAAAATAAGTAGTTAATGAAAAAATAAATGAATTGATCCTCTTTTTTTCAATATTATCAAAATAAAAAATCGTAAAATTTAAAAGTAGTGACTTTAAAGTTTTAACTGAGTCACCAACTAAACAATAGCAAATGCACAGCCTAAAGGATCAGGTATTGAATTTCCGACACCAACTACCAAAGCGTACGTGACAGGTAAGTTTTCTGGTGCTTGAACTTCCACCGTTTGAGTATATTGGTCACCAGCTTTAATTGGACATCCACTTCCAGTACAAGCAGGAACAGTAGTGGGATCTTGTATAGGTTTTTTACCAATTATATCAACAAATGCAATCACAAGTTTGGTTTGATCGGTAACATCTTTTGTAAATTTTCCGGAAACAGTAAATGCATCTTTTTGTCCAGCGACGGGAGGATCGGTTGAAAGTGATACTTGGAGTACGGGTATTTGGGTATGTGAACCTTCTGGTGGGGGACATGCACCAAAGCTGGTGGTTCTTTTATGTGGAACTGCATTGACCATGGTGAGTGTGACCAATAAGAGGAATGCAAAAATAAATTTTCGGTTCATGATTATAATTTCTTTGAGAAGTTGACTTTATTGATTTTTTTTTGCTGATATTAGTTTTGTTAGTTATCGAATTCTTAATTCAGAGTAAATTGAAATCAGTGCCTTTTTATAAGAAAAAATATACTGTTTCCATTCTTAGAATTTGAGAGAAAACTATTCTTTAATCATGATCTACGCTTTATGATACCAAATTTGGTCATCATTCTATTTTTGTTTTACAAACTTTATGTTGAATAAAAAAAAACAAGGCTAAGAAAATTAAAGCTAGATATTCAAATATTTGAAACTAAATATGAAACCCATCCAATAATTAATTTAAAAGATGAGGTAACTATCATTTTGAAAACTAGAATCATTCTTAAACTGGAATCATTCTTAATATAGTAACTTATATTAATGATCACCCTCATTGTATTAAATGAATATGATAATTAATAGTGGAGATCCAATAAAGTAACTAAAAAAATTAACACCTGATACCGCAGAAACGATATGATTCGAAGGAAGAAAAGAGGCGCAAGATTTTTTTTGAAGATAATCAAACGAACGCTGCGCCACAATGCGCGAAACATATCATTTTTTCCTGAAAATATTTCACCAGAGTTTTAAATTATTAATTTTCGGATTTTACAAGTAATACAAAAACATTTTATAGTAAGTTATACTAGTTGACAAACAATTAAGTATGCCAACGAAAATTTGCTTTGTGTCGTACATTTATCTAAACACAATTGTATTCAAAAAAGCTGGTTACCATGCTTTTGTGCTACGAAAAATTATGCAATAGATATAATATTCGTCAATCGTGTGTAATAACTATGACGAAACTTCGAATGATATGAGTTTTGCTTGACCCGGGTCGACCCAGGTACCGGATGATCAGGAGATCTGATCAGCAAAATTCAAAATATAGTGGACATCCGACAAACTATCATGATGCAAACATATGAAAAGCAAAGCTATTAAAATCAGGTTATGGGACCCATCCAAAAAAATATGAGATATATGAACTTTATTTAGTAAATTTTATAGTCGATTATCTTATTAACAAAGCAAGCAATTAGGCCGTCAAACTTTCTCATTTTGGTCATGGACTAGCAAAATGTACCTCCGAGAATATCTCACTTTATTGAGAAATTCACTGATCAACATATGTAACATTAACTTAAGTTTGTCAATCAATGTTTTTGTTATACATAATAATTTTTGTTTTACCATTAAGATAATGATAAAGAAAATAATTATCCTCTTTTTATGAAATATACTTTTTAGAACAGTATGAAGATAATGAATTTATACAAAAGGCTATTAATAATTTACAACAATTTTTCTCTTCTGCTACTTGTACTTGTTGAAATAAAAAAGAAAAATGTTTTGAAAAAATTGGATTTAAAGCTTTTTTTTAAAACATTTAAAATTTTCATAATTTGAAAAAAAAAACAGTTGAATTTTGTTTTAATGGCCAATTATTAGCTTTTTATAATAATAAAAAATAATTAATAGTCAAAAAAATTGAAAATTTTTTAATTATCACTCAATTCTGAAATTTCTTATATAAAGATATATTTCTTAAACTTGTTAGAATTTTAGATAGTATTTTAATAGCAATTTAAATTATTTATTAACTTAAGGATTAATAAAAAAAAACAATATAGAAATATAAAAAATCTTCTTAAAATAGCATAATAATTACAATTAATTAAGAAAAATCAACTAATGTTTATAATTTTATTATTAATTATACAAATTTTCATGGATTTTCTTCATTAAGCTATTATATACAAACTGATTCTTTGATAGTTATTTTATTACCTATTTGAAAAAATTATACTATTGTATATGAAGAATTTATTGTAATTAGTAAAAAATTAAATAATGATGTTTCAATTATATCATACAAAAGCTTTGTTCAACTTAAAAAATCTCACAATAAATATTAAATTCATAAAATCTAATACAGATTTATGTAATACATATTATCATCCTAGAATTCTTTAATATAGATTAATCACATTTTTAAGTCTTTACTTAAGATTGCTAACTGCAGCTTACTATAACTAAAACATTAGAATCTGCCTAATTCTTAACTTTATTAACTCTATATTCTAAACTTTGACAAATCTATCAAGTATGAAAACTTAAAGATAAAATTACAAATAATGTATAAAGATCATACTAGACTATATAAAGAAATAAAAAGGCAGAAAGATATAAATCTGCAAAAAAGTTAATTTACAATATAAGCAAAATGTCTATCTATTTATATAAAATTTTTTTTTACAATTCAATATTTACTATCCTATAAACTAACTAATTAGAGAAATAAATATAAGTAAATTAAACATATTAAAGATAATAAAAATATGTAAAATAATAAAAATATATAATATAATAAAATAATAATAAAAGTAAAATATTAAAAATAAGTGTAACATTAAATATTTCTAGATTTCATTTAATTTGTAAAATTAGAATTACCATCAGTATTTAAAAGTTCTGTAGAATTATATAAATCCGCTGATTTTTAGAATTTACAGAATTCTTAGTATTTTCAGAATTCTAAATCAAGAGATTTTCATACTTTACTATTTATATAAATTCATTATTATTGATCAATTGCTTCATTAATAATATTCCTATGCAAAAATATTAAAAAAAAGGAGTAGCATTAGATTTGAAAAATTATCAAAATAAAGCAAAAAAGAAGTGTCAATATTATAAAAATAATATTATAACTAGCAGTATATCTAAAGAAATAATACACATTTATTATGATTAGATAAAAAATATTTCTATTTCTTTTTTATTATAATAAGTAGATAAATTTATTTTAAAATAGTATTTATAATATATTTTTTTAAAGTATATAATATAAAAGAAAATTAATAACTAAATTATTTAATTGATGAAGATTAATTTCTAAATTGTTTTACAAAAAAAAGAATTTATATAATTATTAATCTTGTATTTAATACTTTAAACAAATTTTATCAAAAAAATAGCATTTAAAGTAACTTGTAATAATTGTATAACTCAAAATAAAAGCAATTTCTCTCTCTCTCTCATTTTTAGCTTTAGTTAATAATGATCAGAAGTATAAAACTATTTAAGTAAATTTTATAGTTTCAGAATATACAAAATTTTTATTAGATAGATATTTTGGTAATATTAAAGTTCTTTTTAAAAATAAGAGTTAATAAAATAGATAATGTTAAAAAAATAATAAAAAAAACTAATAAATAAATTCAAATTATACTATTTGCTATCCTTTAAACTGTAAGATTTTACAAGCATATTTGTTACAAAAATTTTATATTAAAACCTAATTAAAAATCTGCAAAATTCTAAAAAAGGTAAAACTATATCAAAGTGTGAAATTATATCAAATCTTTAGTAAAAAATTAGCAAACTATAGTTTAAATATTTTGCTAAATTCAAAATAAGTTTAGATATACAACCTTAATTGATAATAAAACTACAAATATATTTCTTTTATTTCTTTATATTTCATATAATGCTATTAGTGATAATTCATATACATTACTAAATGACTATGTCAATTAAGATTACTAATGATTTTTATAAAAAGTATGATCATAATTATTATTATTTTACTATTATCACAACTATTATTATTTTATATATTATATTTATTTTATCATTTATCTTTATTTATTTATTATTATTATTTTCATAATTATATTTATTATTTTTACTATATTAATTATCTCTTTCTTATATCTGTATTTTATATAAATAATATATATTATAGCTTTAGTAAAGAGATAAATTTCTATCTTATAATTCAATAAACTATAATTTTAATAATATAAAACCTTATACCTTTGTTAATATTTGTTTTCTTAAATATAAATTATTTTGTTATCCTAATAACATAGTATTTAGGCTTAAAAATACTATTATTATTTAATCTATATAATAGTAATTTAATAAATTTATTACAAAAATTCTTTTAGTATTTTTATTAAGCAACTTTTCAATTCTATCTGATTAACTATTATTATTATTATAAGTAATTCTTTTTAAAAAGTGATTATTATTTAAAGAATTCTTAATTAATTTATAAATCAATTCTAATCTAAAAGTTTTGACTTTTATTATTTCTAACTTTTTACTAATAAGATAAGAATTAATGATAGATATATCTAGTATCTAAAATATAATAGTATTTAGATTTGATTAATGATCAATTGTGTTAAATAATAACTTTATAATTAGTCAGCTATATTAATACTATTTATATTATAATTATAGTCATTAATTAATTTAGTATTACTATAGTTAGATGAGAAAAGCTTTCAAAAACTGCTCTAACTTTTTACTATTTAAACTCATCTTCTTAGATCTTTTATAATTTTTAGAAATTCTACTATTTTTTCTATTTATAATATATATAGTACTAAATATTATTATAGGATTACTATTTACTCAAAGTATTACTAATACATTATTAATAATTATACCAACTAAAAAATTTCATTATTTACTTTATCTTTTTATTTTTTAATACTATAGAAAATTTTATTATACAGAGGGTAGATAAAAGTTTCAGGATACTTTTATAAATGCGATTTAAAAAATTTTCGTCATATAATTGTGATATCATACTGCAGTCATATGACTGTCTATTATTTATTTACATAATCAAAATAAAAAAAATTCGTTAATTTTTGTTGTTTTGATTTACTTAATCTCTACTAAATCAAAAAATAATGGGACAAAATAAAGAATTAACCAAAGAACAATACGGAGCTATATTTTACTTAGCCAGCCTAAAGTCCTGATCTTAACCCAATTGAAAATTTATGGGCTGATATTAAAAAATACATTCATGCATATTTAAAAACCATCATCGAATCTTGCTGACCTCGACCGATATGTTAAAAAGATATAGCAAGAAATTCTGATGCATACTATTAAAAATTTAATCG